TTAAAACCACAATGAGGTATCACTTCACACCTGTCAGAATGGCTGCCATCAACAAATCAACAAATGACATGAGCTGGCGAGGGTGTGGAGAAAGGGGACCCTAGTACACTGCTGGTGGGCATGCAAACNATGGAAAACAGTATGGAGTTTCCTCAAAAAATTAAAAGTGGAACTGCCTTTTTACCCAGTGATCCCACTTCTAGGAATATATCCTAAGAATCCTGAAACACTAATCAAAAAGAATATACATACCCCTATGTTGATAGCACAACTTACAATAGCTAAGATCTGGAAACAGCCCAAGTGCCCATCAGTAGATGAGTGGATAAAAAAGCTGTGGTATATTTACACCATGGAATATTATGCAGCTGTAAAGAAGAACGATCTCGTACCCTTTGTGACAGTGTGTATGGACCTTGAGAATATTATGCTAAGCAAAATAAGCCAGGCAGAGAAAGACAAACATCACATGATCTCACTTAATGTGCAATATAAAGAACAATAAACTGATGAACAAAATAGATTCAGCGACATGGAAGCATGGATCAGACTAACGAATCTCACAGAGAAGGTGGGGATGGGTGAGTGGGTGGATGGGGAGAGATTAACCAAAGAATTTATATGCATATGTTCATAACCCATGGACACAGACAATAGTATGGTAAAGGCCTGGGGATGGGAGTGGGTGCAGGGTAGAAGGGGTGAATGGGGAAGAAAGGGGACATCTGTAATATTTTGAACAATAAAAAAAAGGGAAAAAATTAGTCCTGCCTGAATTTGATTATTGTACTTTTCCCTCTGCTTTAACCACAGGGCATGATAAGTAACACTAAGAGGTATGCTACAGGATCTTATATACTCCAGACATTGTAGCCCTAACCTCCATTACCTACTATGGAGTAGCTGTCCAACTTTCCCTTGGTAGTCAGGATTAGTCACCCCAGCCAGCACTGGAACTTCCTTGTTTGCCTGTTGATTCACAGGCACAAGAAGCCCAAAGTGCCAAGTGGCAGTCTTTTGTTCTTTTTCTTGTTGTTCAAAATATTACAGATGTCTCCTTTTTTCCCCATTGACTCCTTTCACCCCAAACCCCCTCCCTGCCCCAGGCCTCCACTACACTGTTGTCTGTGTCCATGGGTTATGCATAGATGCATGTGATTCTTTGGTAATCTCTCCCCACTCATCCCCACCTTCCCTTTGAGATTCCACAGTCTGTTCCATGCTTCTATGTCATTGAATCTACTTTGTTCATCAGATTATTGTCTTTAGATTCCACGTATAAGTGAGATAATGTAATATTTGTCTTTCTCTGCCTGGTTTCTTTTGCTTAGCATAATTTTCTCCTGGTCCATCCATACTGCCCAAAGGGTACAAGATCCTTCTTCTTTACAGCTGCATTGTATTCCATGGTGTAAATATCTCACAGATTTTTATCCACTCATCAAATGACAGGCACTTGGGCTGTTCTCAGATCTTAGCTATTGTAAACTGTGCTGCTATGAACACAGGGGTACATATATACTTTTTGATTAGTGTTTCAGGATTCTTAGGATATATTCCTAGAACTGGAATCACTGGGTAAAAAGGCAGTTCCATTTTTAATTTTTTGAGGAACCTCCATACTGTTTTCCATAGTGGCTGCACCAGTTTGCATGCCCACCAGCAGTGTACCAGGGTTCCCCTTTCTCCACACCCTCGCCAGCTCATGTCATTTGTTGATTTGTTGATGGCAGCCATTCTGACAGGTGTGAAGTGATACCTCATTGTGGTTTTAATTTGCACCTCTTTGATGATTAGAGATGTTGAGTATT